ATCAAGAAATATTGTTTTAGGCAAATATACTGCACAAGGCCTCTTTAATGTGTTTAAGAGCAAAGATAACCGTTGAGGACTAAAGTGGGCGGGACACAAGCCATGGTATTCTCAATAGCCTATATGCATGTGAAAGTTGGACACTGAATAAGGATGACCATAGAAAAATTGATGCATTTCAGTTATGGTGCTGGAGAAGAATATTAAAAGTACTATGGACTGTCAGAAGAACAAACACATTTGTGTTGGAAGAAATACAGTCAGAATGCTCCTTAGAAGTTACGATGGCAAGACTTCATTTCTCATACTTGGAACATGCTATCATGAGGGACCGTTCCTTGGAAAAGGACATCATGCTTGGTTAAGTGGAAGGTCAGAGAAAAGTAGGAAACTCCCAGAAAGATGGATTGGTACAGTGGCAGCAACAATGGTTTCAAGTGTAACAACAATTGTGTGGATGGTGTGGGACCAGGTATTGTTACATTCTGTGTGCACAGGGTTACTATGAGACTTGACGGCACATAATGACAACTAATTCCAGAGAATACTGTATAAAATATTTATACATTTAAAAAATACTTTATGCTAATCCACTTGGGAATTAATGCTTATTTTTTGTTTCTTATGCCAAATACAGCCAAACTGAGTCTCTTATACTTTGGACATATTGTCAGGATGGACCAGTTGCTGGAGAAAGATATCATATTTGGTAAGGTGAAGGGTCAGAAAAAGAGGAAGACCCCCAATGAAATGGATTGGACAAGTGGCAGCATCGATGGACTCAAGTGTGGCAATAGTAGTGAGTTTGGCCCAGGATCGGGCAGTGTTTCGTTTTGCTGTGCAAAAGATCGCTATGAGTCAATACCAACTCGATGGCACCTAACAACAACAACAACAAATAATAATATACTAGTACAGGATTTTACTTAATGTTAAATAATAAAAATAATCACTAGTAAAAAAAAAAGATAACCTTGAAACAGAAAGATTTAAAAAAGACATATCTAGTATTAAATTGTGAAGGATGTTTAGCTACAGCAGGAGATCTATATTGTGTAAAACTTTTTGAAATATATGATTTCTTCAACTCTGGGCTTAAATTGGAAGAGTATGTTATCAATTCTGTGTAGAATAGAATGGAGCTGGTAAGATTCTGTTGTAGTGAAAATCAATGAATGATTTTTACTCTGAAGATTGAAGAAGTACAAAGAGAAGTCAATTTGGTGACTTTCTGAAAATAAACTGTAAGTGAAGGAAAAAGAGATCTGAAATTTTATTATAATAAAAACTTTGTTCTGCTGTTGTTCGGTGCCCTTGAGTCAATTCCAATTCATAGCAACCTTTTGTACAACAGAACGAAAACAGTGCTGGTCCTACACCATCATTATAATTGTTGCCATGTTTGAGTCCATTATTGTAGTCACTATGTCAATCCATCTTACTGAGGGTCTTCTTCATTTTTGCTGATCCTCTACTTTACCGAGCATGATGTTCTTCTCCAAAGACTGGCTCCCCCAATAACATTTCCAAAGCACAAGTGATGAAGTCTCACCATCATCACTTTTAAACAGCATTTTGACTGTACTTTTTCTAATTGTTGTTGTTAGGTGCCATCTAGTCGCTACCAACCCATAGTGACCTTTTGCACAGCAGAACGAAACACTGCCCGATCCTGGGCCAACCTCACTTTTGTTGCCAAGCTTGAGTCCATCAATGCTGCCGCTTGGCCAATCCATCTCAT